TGATCATGAAGTCTCTGTGGTTTGTAGTCAGGGTTTATTCCAGGAATGTTTACTGAGGGCCCACTATGTGCCAGACACTGCTGAAAGCATTTGCTCAAAGCTTCATTTAACCGTTTCTAAAGTCCTTCCTATGTTTTAGACCCTGGGCTAGAATTGAGCAGACCCAGTCTTGACTCTCATGGAACTTACATTCTCATGACAAAGATAAAATCATTGACAAATTAGTAATTAACTGATTGTAGTTTTTGATTCATGCTATGTAGAAAGCAACACGGTGCTCTGACAGATGGCAACAGGGAGGACATCAGTCATTAGCAGAAGTAACTCAGACCACTCCTGCATCTTATAGGCATTTATGGACCCCTTACTATGCATCAGGAGCCGTGCCAGGGGCAGGCAACAGTGAGGTGAATAAGATACAGTCTTTGCCCTTAGGGAGGTCACCCCTGAGAAGCCACATACATACCAGGAAAACCGATCCAGTCTACCCACCCACCCATTCCCACCTTCACACAAATATTTAACTTAGAGAAAAATAGCCCATTATTTGACTGAATTATCCTGTTACTTTTTTAGTCCAATCTATAAGCTTATATAGGTCCTCCTCACTGTGGGTTGAAAGGCACATTTCACACAAGAGAAGGTGCCTGGGATTGCCTAAGATCAGAACAGAAATCTAACCTTTGTCTGCCTTTTTCCTCCCTCAGCAGGGCACCAGTAGTGACTCTGCAAAGCACAGAGCTCTGTGAGGACACCTTCAGACCCTGGCGCACCCACGTGAGCCTGCAGCTTGTGACTGATCTCAGTGCAAAACCACAGGGGCCATGGTAGCTGGGAACTGCGGTCTCTAATGATGCCACTTGCTGGGCCCGTCCCTTGACCACGCTGAATCGCAGGCTCTCATCCATAACAGGGAAATAAGACCCATTTTATCTCTTTCTGTGGGTTACTGTCAATCAAAAACCATGAAAGTGCTTTGAAAAAGAAAAAGCAATATTCAAATTCAAAGGGTTAGAATTACCGTTTTTATTTTAACTGTGAGGGTTTTCAAAGGTTCAAACAAAAAGGATTTTAAAGTTTTACTATTTAATAATGAAGTCAAGTGTATCAGAAATTTGATAAAACACCATAGTTGAGTATGCTGTTTAATCACTAAGTCATGTCCGACTCTTTGTGACCCCATGGACTGTAACCCACTGGGCCCCTCTGTCCATAGGGTTTCCCAGGCAAGAATACTGGTATGGGTTGCCATTTTCTTCTCCAGGGCATCTTCCCAACCGTGGGGATTGAATCTGGGTCTCCTGCTTGGAAGGCAGATTCTTTACCACTGAGCCACCTGGGAAGTTTAGCAAGCACTGTTCACTGTATACACAAGATCCACTTCTCCTCTTCTTCTGAGCTCACAGAACCCCAATTTTTTCAGGAAAGAACAAAGCTTCCTTTCATCTGCTTTGATCTCCCCCAAACCCAGGGGATTATGATTTGTCTTATCAGTCATGGCAATTACCTTCCATTTGGCCAGTGATGAGTTTAAGGATATTTCCCAGTTCCAGTCAATGAGAAATAAGGGAAACTGTGACTTCTCTTTCTCAACTTGAAATACAATCTCAAAAGAAGAATGTCGGGGGACTTCCTGGTGGTCCAGTGGTTAAGACTCTGAGCTTCCACTGCAGGGGGACACAGATTCGATCCCTAGTCCGGGAACTAAGATCCCATATGCCACATGGCTTGGTGAAAAAAAAAAAAAAGACAAAATCTTTTGCCTCTGCCCTGCCCTTTGTGAGGCCCTGGTGCCTGGAGGAGTAGCTTCTGTCTCCCAACAGTGAAGCAATGAGCACAAGGGCACAATGGAAGAACAGAGAATCAGAAGAAACAGGATTCTTGATGATGTCTCCAAGCTACTGCAACCGTCCTCCTCCAGTTATAAGAGAAAATGAAATGCCCTTAATGTTTGAGTCAGTGTTACTTGCTGCCAACTGCATATGTAAATCAGTACAATCTCTGAGGAATGTAGCTTGACAATGTATTTCTATTTTGAATGCATGTACCCTTGAATTCAACAATTCTATTTATCAAGAAATCTCCCACAAATATACTCACACTGTGCTCAAATAAGTACTTCTGAGTCTATTGATTAACAACATTATGTATCTAACAATATGGTTAGATTGATTATGGTGCATCTGTAAAATGAAACATATGCTGACTCTAAAAAGATTCGCACAACCCTGTGTATTGGCAAGAAACTGTATTCTAGATATATTAGGTGAAAGAAGTAAGATTAATAATGGTTGAAATTGGGCAATGGTACATGGACATTTGTAATGCCATTTTTCCTTATAAGTGTATTGTGGAAATTTAAATTTTTCCAAAATTAAAAAAAAAATGTAGAAGCAAGGGGCAAGAACATTAGTGTGAATAATATGACATCGTTTAAATGCTCCTAAATATACATATTTTAAATTAGTTAATTTATTTTTTGCTATGCTGTGTCTTCATTGCAATGTGCAAGCTTCTCACTGTGGGAGCTTCTCTTGTCGTGGAGCATGGGCTTCAGGCGCCCAGGGCCTCAGGAGTTGCAACACACAGGCTCTAGAGCTTGGGCTCGGAAGTCATGTCACATGGCCTTTGTTGCTCCCAGCTTGTGGAATCTTCCTCAACCAGGGACTGAACCCATGTCCCTGCACTGGCAAGCGGATTCTCATCCACTGTACCACCAAGGAAGTCCTGCACGCTTTTTTTTTTAAGGAAATATGTATATGAAGGACAGAAAAAGAATATCCATGGAAGGACACACCATAAACTGAGAAGAACTACTACTTGTAGGGAAAAAAGGAGGACTAGGGAGAGACTGAGTTTTCATCTCCTTGTTCCTTTTGAATTTTTAAAATAATAATACATTAATCTAACACAACATTGCAACATTGTAAAGCAATTATACTTCAATAAAAAATTAAAAATAAAAATACTTTTTTATATAACATATAATGATAGTATAATATAAAATATATTGTATAATATAAATATATTATATAAATATATGAATAATAATATATAATGATTTATTTAAAATAATTATTAATCAACACAAAATGTAAAAAATAGGTAGGTGATGGGTAGATAGGCAGACAGGCAGTCCACGTCCTCACACTGTGGTCTCAAGTGCTACTTGGTGTTCAGGCAATAACTCTGGTCCCAATCTGACCTCTGACCCTTAAAAAGGTGATGGTAAGACAAGTAACCTGAGGCTGCCAGGGCCCCTGCCTGTGAGCTAAGTCTGTGCTTAGAACCAAGTTACACAGATGTTGTGGACAAGAAAAATTTGGTCGTAGTGGATGCTACTGCCTCTATATGAAAAACAACACAAAACACCATTTCCAGCGGGGTGGGGGTGCGGACGGGGGGAGGAAAGATTTTCTTCAAAATGTAATTTCATTGTAGACACTTTAAAAGAAACATTTCTTTATTTGACAGTGCTGGGTCTTAGTTTCAGCATGCAGGATGTTTAGTTACAGCATGAGAACTCTTAGCTCCAGCATGTGGGACCCAGTTCAGTTCCCTGACCAGGTATTGAACCTGGGGGCCCTTGCATTTGGAAGCAGGGAGTCTTAGCCACTGGACCACCAGGGAAGTCCCCTGTAGATGCTTTTATGAAAAGCAAAAAAGCACAAAGAAGAGCTTAAAGATTCCTGATCTTACTCCCAGTAGTGATAATGCACATTTTGGTGTGAGAGTGTGTGTATTGATTGGCATGTGTGTGATCAGAAAACACATACCATTTTATAACCTGATTCTTTCCAGCTCACAAAATAAAGTTATTTTCCTACAGCGTTAAATATTATTTTACAACATAATTTTTAATGTGTGCATATTGCTGCTATGTGATTTTCAATAACTTACTAATTTCCTACGCTGAACATTTAGTTGTTGTCCCACCTTTTTAGTGGCCATGCAATTATAAATCATGGTCAATGCTAACAATTTCTGACTTTACAAACATATAGTACAATATCCTTCCTTTCTTCAATAGATAATTATTAAAAGCAAAACAACCAGACTCAAACAAAGTAATTATAAAATATCTTTAAAAAGATATTGGGTAAAATTCAAATGCAGACTAGCTCATGATGTTAAAGAATTACTCTTGTGTGGTAATGGTCTTGTGATAGAGAAAGAAATGCTTCCTTATTTTTCAGAGATAAACACTGAAGTATTTAAGGATGAAACGCCATGATGTTTGTAATTTGCTTTAGAATATTTTAGCCAAAAAAATTAATGATGCAAATATGCAAAAATAATACGTTAAGCCTAAATTTGCCATTTTCATTTAAAAATATATCTTAAAAATGAAATTCTTTGTGCAAGGCACCAGGCTATCAATGTGGGATACAGATGTGAACAAAAAGGACCCCTGTGGGACTTGGCGGAGCACACAGATTTTGGGGGAGCACGTTCCCGTTAGGAAGTCTCCAGTGCAATACGACCGGTACCTCCAGGACCTGTGTGAGCCTGACTTTCATCATCCCCTCCACACCATCATCAAGGCAGGTGTGATTTTCCAGGCCAGGAGCACGCCCGGTCGCTCTCGTCAACCCTGGGTTTCCCCCGGCGCCCAGAGCCGTCGGGTCCCGCCGCCCAGCGGAGCTGGCTGCTCCGGCCTCACTGTCGGGGCGCCACCGCTCCCAGCAGGCTCAGAGGAACCCCTCACCGCCACCCTGTCCCAGGCGGCCTTTCCCCGAGGCCCGAGGGGCAGATCCTGGGGCCACCTCGAGGATTTCTCACACCTGCCCAGGCGCCCCCAGCTTTTCAGGAGATACCGGAGGGTGGGCATGGGGCCCCTGGCGCATCCGAGACCCTCCCTGGAGGCCCCGACCCGCGGCCGCCCGGCCCGACGCTGCCCCGCCGCCCCGCAGGGCGGGAGCTGGCGCTGCGGGTGCGCCCCGGCCTGTAGGGCAGTTGCGCAAGTTGCGCTTCGGCGGCTATAAGAGGGGCGGGCAGGCATGGAGCCCCGGAGGGATCGAGGAATCGCGGCGCCAGCAGCGGCGAGGTAAGTGCCCGGCTCTCTCCTTTCTCCTTCTCCGCCGGTCTTTCTTGGCAGGCCACCCAGCCCAGCCCACCCGGGACCCTGGGGAAACTGAGGCGGGCGAAGGGCAGGGCGTACGGCTTGGTTCTGGATTGGGGTAACTGCACCAGAGTTCTAACCGGTGGGAAGGCGGCTGGGAGCCGGGGGACGCTAGCTTTGCGGCTGGGCTGTGCCTGCCCTCGGGGCAGGAATCAGCGCTCCAGGAGCCAGCCTGGGCCCCAGGAGACTGCCAGAGACTCCAGCCCTGCCTTTGACATGCTTTGGAAATGGCCTTGAGCACACCCCCAAAGATCGGGATACCCCGCCCCCATGTGCAGGGGACGTTCGTTGAGTTTCTGAGGAGTGTAGAGTTCTGAGGGTGTACAAGGAGTCTTGTTCTGCGGATGAGAATTCAGGCACCATTTTCCAGCAGGGTTCCTGACTTGTAAATGCGAAGGACTGTATAAAACCCAGGCTATAGGATGGAGATGAGAAAGTAGGGGTGAGCAGAAAAACTGGGAGAACCTGAATCTCCCAAAGAAATTATGAAAGGTCTCACTGCATCTGGCCTCAAAGTCATGAGAATTGCCTTTTACACTATGGATAAAATAGGGTTCCTTTGGGGCGACCAAACAGGGGATCCTGGGAAAGCCCTGTTAAACTTTTCCCACTGTAACCGTTTAGCCAAAACTGATAAATGCACACTATTGGCAGGTGGGCCCCCGGGTGACACCTACCAGGCCTGCCATCTCTCCTGGCTTGGTTTCAATTTCATGGTGGATGGGTTTGCCTTCACACTCCAGTTTCTATAGCTTAAAGATGTGGCACTTTGGAAAAGTGAATTCTTAAATACAGTTTTTGATCCAAATGACACTTGATGGTGGCCTGGTTGTCATTTGAGAATAGCAGCCTTGGCGGGGATAGGAAGATAGTCTGCAGGGGAGGCGAAGCAGAGGGCACAGACTGGAAGGCACCACCCCAGTGCAAGAGCTCAGACTCCCCAGGCTGTCCTCTGTCCAGGCTCTGGTGTTTGCTCTGTAGAGCCTAAGGTGGCAGTGCAGTGGGCAGCTAGGACCAGGTGGGACAGAGGGTATCCCGTCTGTTCCCACCAGGACAGTGTGCAGAACCATACTCGCTCCCACTCTAATGCCCTCCTGAGCAGGAAGGTCTTGCTGATCTTTTCTCTCATGTAGGCAGGGGGAGAGGGCATGAGAAAAGCAGTGGGTGTGACTCGGTTCTTCCCTTTTCAAGCAGTTGAGGAAATTGGGCAGAGGGGAACGTTTCCATGTTGGCCAAAGGAGCATCCCTCTCACATTTTGTACATCTTATGCCCAAAATAACTCTTCTTGGTATTTGGGGGAAATATTTTCCTCCCCCTCCATTCCAGGAAATGGTTCCAAGCGCCAAGGACAGAGCCAAGGAGATTGCAATGAATTCCTGCCCGTTAGCCACAAGCGGATGCCTCTCGCATCTGAGTGGCCTGTGCAGGGTGTGGAGGTGACCGCTTGGGAGAACCTGGGTCTTTGTCCCCACTCTAGCCTAGGTGCCACTTAGGGGGACGTGGTGGTGGTGGTCAGTGGGAGTCAGAGAGAGATTAGGGCTCCAGGGATGGGGAATCCTCATGGTGTGTGTATCCTTCAACCACATGCGTGTAATTGAAAGGAAAACCGAGCCAATTTCTCCTGCAGTCAGTCAGTCAGTAGGCCCTGTTCCCACCAGCAGCAGGAGTCCAGTGGTGACAACTCCCTCCTGGCCTGCCAGCGAAAGCCTTGGAATTCTTTGTCCACACAGTTGTCTTAGAGAAGTAGAAAGAGAGGATGTTTCGGCTTAAAAACAACACACCTGCCGCCTGGGCCCACGGAATCCTTTGCACTTCATGTGTGACAACAGATGTGCCTTGCTTCTCAGCAAACAGCATTTTACAGTCTTTCCTGCTCCATTCCTCAGCTCTCTGGAATGATTGGTGTCAATGCTGATAGCTCATCCATCCCACAGAAGATTTCATTCCCATCTCTGCACACACTGAGTTGGTACTCTGGGGTACTCCAGACTGGGTGTGCTAAGGAAGAAGTAGAGAAGCCCCAAAGAAGACAGGCTGGGCAGAGCAGAGACCTCTGGGAAGGGCAGGAGGCCGAGAGCGCAGTAGGAGGAGCCAGGCTGATGAGTGGGGCCAAGCCAGGGAGTATCTGGGACAATAGTTAAGATGGAACAGAATTCAGGAAGCTGAAGGGAATAGGGGCCCATGTGGTGTTAGAGGACACCTGTGCAGTGCAGGAAGCCGTGAAAAGATCAGGATTCTGCAGCATTTTCTGTCTTCATTAAGAACGCTTCTTAGGAATTCCTGCTGGGCAAAACTGAATTCTAGATAGACTTTAAAATGGGAGCAGCCTAACCATCTAGAGGTAGGTTAACCTCATTAGATAATGAAAACCAGAGATGGGAAATATTTCATTCATTCTTTCCACAAATATTCAGTGAGGACCTACTCTGTGCCAGGGCCCTGGGGGAGATGCTGAACAAGTCACATATCCACCACTCCAGGACCCAGCAGACATCAATAACTGATCACGGCACCTTGTCCCTCTCATATTGGAGGGAGCTTCAGATTCCTCTCCACTCATCACTCCAAGGAACCACTAAAAACTGATCAGAGTTGACACAGGAATTGAAACCTATTTGTTGTCCCTGATGAGATTGAATCTAAGGGTAGTTTCTGATGAACAGAAAAACTATAACCCTTGCACCCACATTCTGGCTACCAATTAAGTATGTTAACCTGATTTCTCAACCAGGCTCCTACTTGCAAATAAGAGAAAATCACTCGTGCTAGCTCCGTGTATATTGCAACCAACATTTAAAACCAGAATGGAGACTCTCCAGTGTGTATCACCCATAGTGAAGATGAATTTCATTTCCTGACACTTGTTTTTCTTACAGGTGTGTATCTATATGTCTCCTGGATGAAAAAATATATATTCAGAAAGTTGAAAACTACTCAAGTGAGCAGTGTATGTAAAAGAGTATCTCACCCTTGAGGCTAAGGACAGGGCGAGCCTAGAACGAACAAGGACAGGAACCAGAAAGAAGGTCAAGAAAAAGCACAAGCATTGACCATAATCCACACGCCCCACTCCCCCAAGTGGGTAGACGGACCCTGGTCTCTCTTAACTACTCCATGCCTGTGATGTCAGTCATGGCTATACTTGAGTTTCTGAGTCTTCATCAGAAGCAAACGGGACTCCTCAGAGCATACTTTAAATTCCTGGGAGAGATGTTAACTGACCCAGTCAGGATGTGGAGGAGGAAAGGGAAGAGAAAAGAGTATTCTGCTTCTCTTGCCCACTATTGTTCACACAAACATCACCTCCAGGATTCGTGTGTGTGTGTGTGTGTGTGTCCTGCATAGGGCAGATCCCCCAGAAGGTCCCGACCACCCATAGAATCAAGCCCAGGACCTTCTAGTTCTCCAGCCTCACATACACTACTCTTCTACCATATGGAATTCTCTCAAACCCACCATGGTATATCCCAGCTCCACACTGTCCCCTTGGCCTGGAATGCCCTGCTTGCTTCCCTCCCCCCGTCCTTCAGGTCTCAGGGCAAAGCTATCTCGGCTTCCCAGAGCCAGCCCTTTTCCCTGTGCTCCCCCAGCTTCAGGTTCCTTCCCTTATAACTTTCACCAGATTGTATTAAAATGAGTTGTTTAAGCTTCTGTCTGTTCCACTGGATTCTGAAGAACTCAGAGGACCCAAACTTCTCTGTCTCCTTCATCCCTTTTCCTTTCTCCATCCCCAAGTCCCTTCCCACTTAGAGTTAGGGAGAAAGGAATGAAGGAAGGCTGAGAGGGAAGAATTCAAGGGAACCAACAGGCAAGATTTCTACAGGGAGAGAGAGGGCATAGACTGCCCAGAGCTTTTTCCTTAAAATGAATAGTAAATACCACATTCAGTTCAGTTCACTTCAGTTGCTCAGTCGTGTCCAACTGTTTGCGACCCCCTGAACCACAGCATGCCAGGCCTCCCTGTCCATCACCAACTCCCAGAGTTTACCCAAACTCATGTCCATTGAGTTGCCGATGCCATCCAACCATATCATCCTTTGTCAAATACCACATTACCTGAATTTAATTTTCATTAACAAACCAAAGATCATTGGAGTTGTTGTTCAGTTGCTCAGTTGTATCTGACTCTGTGACCCCATGCACCGCAGCACACCAGGCTTCCCTGTCCTTCACCATCTCCCAGAGCTTGCTCAAACTCAAGTCCATTGAGTCAGTGATGCCCTCCAACCATCTCATCCTCTGTCCTTATCTTTCCCAGCATCAAGGTCTTTTCCAGTGAGTCAGCTCTTCACATCAGGTGGCCAAAGTATTGGAGCTTCAGCTTCAGCATCAGTCCTTCCAATGAATATTCAGGGTTGATTACCTTTAGGATTGACTGGTTTGATCTCCTTGCATCCAAGGGACTCTCAAGAGAGATTACTGGAGAAAGGGGTATAAAAACCTGCTGGCTGGAGAAGAAGGAAGAGAGAAAGCCGTGCCAGGCCCCTTGCTTACCTCTGGTACCTTCTACAGGGAGAAGGCAGAGGAGTTTGCATAGCTCAAAGCTAGTGGCCCTTACCAGCAAATGTTTGTGACCTGGAGCTTTCCCTATCTCCCCCACCACTCTCTCCACTGCTGGAACCCGGGGCAGGCCTGCCCTGGGCCCAGCTAACTTCATGTGTGTGTGTGTGTGTGTGTGTGTGTGTGATCTAGAGAAACACCTCCTACCTGGACATGAAGGCCCCGACTTGGTCTGTTGCATCCCCCAAGACAAAAGGGAAGGTGAGGGAGCTTATGTCTGGAGGCCACCAGCTTCTTGAGGAACCAGGAGGCAAGTTTGTCTGTGGAGAAGAGGGTGCTGCAGGGAACTGCCAAGTGGGGGAACAAGGCCTGCAGTCAACCCCAAATGAATGGGGGGGGGGCCAGTGCCCAGGACCCAAGTGAA